AAAATAAATCTCCCTGTTGGTTCTGTTTCTCTGGAGAACTCTCAGAAATCGAGCAGGGAACTTGTGGTCTGCCAAGGGCCCTGCTGTCTCCCAGCTCCCAGAACCGTGCCTGGCACATGCCAGGTCGCCAGTGATATGGTCTGTCAGAATCCCCTCTAGCTTAGTAAGAAGACCTGTCCTTAGCCCAGAAAACCCACATGAACGCAGATGTGTGCACCAATGTACTTCCGAGTTCAAGCCCTGCAGCAGGAGCTGCCAACATGCAAGGCAGTGTTGGAGAGGCTGAGCGCCCTGCCCACTGCAGCTGCTCTGGGTGTCCTCCAGATCATCGCAGAGCTTAGAAAGAACATATCTCAAGACCATTTTTCAAAAAATAACAGTAGAAATTTAAAACAGAATTTTAGATAACACCATTAGAGTAGGTATTAGTTATTAACAAAGGAAGGGAGCAAATGGAATCAGATCGTAAGCCTAATTAAGTAAAAAGTGGCAGCTCTGAAGAAGACGGTGCAGGAGGAGGTCCTACTGAGGACTGCACAGTAGGAGCCGAGACAGCGACCATAAAGGGCAGGGAAACCTGGGGAAAAGACCAAACAGTGTCAGGAGGCAGGCCCGGGAAAAGCCAGGAAGGAGACGGGGCGGCTGGAAAGCAAGCCCGCCCCCTCCGAGCCCACGGGATGCGGGGGGCCTGACGGGGGGGGGGGGGGGGGGGGGGCGTCTCTTCTTGGCAGCCACACGGCCCAGCCAGCAGCAGCCTGTGCTGATCTGGACGGCCGGAGCCTTGGGTACCGAGGGGATGGCGCCGCGGCTCTGGGCCCTGGCCCTCCTGGTCCCACTGGGCACAGGTACAGGCCTGTGGCCCCGGAAGCCGGCTTTCTCCCGCGGCGAGATGGAGCTAAACCACCTGGCTGTGGATGAGGCATCGGGCGTGGTGCGCCGCGCAGGAGACCGGCATCAGCCAGCTTCTGCGGCGGGACCCGCCGGGGAGGCGCCTCATCCGGCGCGGCAGCCTTCTCCAGGGAATCTGTGCCCTGCCTGCCCTCCCGCTCTTGGGTCACACGTTTGCTTTCTTTTCTCCTAAACTCTAAGGGCCTCCACGAGACTGATGACCAGGGAAGGAGTGGGCTTTAAGGACTCACCTTTTTGCCTCTATCACTTCCTTTCCTGAGTCTAGGCAGTTCAGTCCAGGCTCGCTCCTGTTGCTGTGATCTTGCCTCTTCTATCCTAAGCCTTCTTTTGTTTTTGCCCTAATAAATCTTGCCACTAGCACTTAAAATCCTCCTATGTGTGTCCCTGAAATTCACTTCCTGTGACATGGTGGAAGAACCTATTTCCTTCAGTAACAAAAACTTTACCTCGGCATGCGAAAAAAGGATACTCAAGGATCTGCCTTTAGAAAATGGGTCAGGGAGGACTGGTTAAAGATGTGCTCATTCCAACACCAGTTCTGAGGTGCGGTTTCTCCCTGCCACCAACCCACCCGCAGTTGCGACACTGCCTGTCTGGAGGCAGGGTCAGACCCCACAGGTTAAGGTCTCAGTCCCACAAGAGCGACTCCCCCTCCTTAAGGTGATCATGGCAAAGCCAGGCTTGTCACCGATGCTGCTGACTGACAGGTTATATATCAGAGGCTGCCACCACCCGTCCTCGGGTTCCAGTAATTTGCTGACGTGGTGCATAGAATCCAAACATTTACTTTTTGGTTCATTATAAAAGAATAAGATTCAGGAACAGTCAGACGGAAGAGGTGCGCAGGGCCGGGCGTGGGAAGGGGCCGGGGGCTTCCCTGCTCTCCGAGCCCACCGCCCTGCGTCTCCACGTGGGCACCGACCCGGAAGCTCTCCCAGCCCTGTGCTCCTGGGTGTTCATCGAGACTTCAGTACACGTGAATGACTGACTAAATCACTGGCAACCAGGGATTGATTCAATTTCCAGCCCCTCTCCTTTCCCCCAAGGAACTGAAACTTCCAACCCTCTAATCCCAGGGTTGGTTTCCCTGGAGACCAGCCCAGTCCTTAGAGGCGGACAAAATCGCCTCATTCACCTAACAAAAGATACCTTTCTCATCAGAGATTCCTAAGGTTTCTGAGCTCTGTGCCAAAAACCTGGTATGAGGACCAAATATAAATTTCTTAACTATAAATCACAGTATCACAGATGGCAAATTGAAAACACATTTTCCCCGAGGTAAAAGAGAAGAGACATCAGCAACATAATTTGGAAAACTCAAAAATTTGAGACATAGCAAATCCAAGAAAGTCAACTGTAAGGCAGCGAGGGGAGCGCGACCTTCGTATTTAACTGGACACGGATGAAAGGAGGAGAGCAACGGGAACCAGCCATCCGGCTTCGCGGGCCGGGAAGCATAGCCTGCCTGCTGGCCAGCAAGCTGCGGCTTCACACCCCAGGGGGCCGCAGCGCTGCGCCCCACCAAGGGGACCCCCACCGCTCCCCTCCCCGCTCCAGGATCCAACTGCTGGGAGCCCAGGGGGAGGTGCTAGACCAAAGAGGCCTGTCGGTCCAGCCTAGGGAACAACAGATTGCCTAGCAGGTGGACCCATCCAAAGCCTGCAGAAGCCTGGGAAGTTGATTGATTCTTCTGAAAAAGGGACCTCGTAGGACCCAAACCCAAACCCATATAATCCCAGGGGAGCAAAGAAGCTCACCCTTAATGTTCTTTCTCTCTTCTTCCCTCCCCTCCTCCCCGGCCCCCCATACACTTCCGTTAGTGGTTAGTGTGCTCTCTTGCCCAGAAGCATGTGACCATGTGGGTCTAGCAGCTACCAGACCCGCAGCTGAGGGCGTGGGCTCCAAAAGGACTGAGCTCTCTCTCTCTCTCAGAACACGCTCACTTAGCAGCCACGTCGACTCTGCCACCAGAGCAACTGGGAACAAGCTAAGCCACCTGGACGGGGACTGAGGCTGCCTGGCAGCTGCTGTGGGCTCCAAAGAACTAAGCTTTAATATGAAGGAAAAACTCTGGACACACGGGCTTTTGTCTCGGCCTTGCTGAGGACACGGATGGACATCTTCCATGGTGGGACAGATGGACAGTGGTAACCCAAGGGGCAGCTTCTATCTCTACATGAATAAACCACACCGTTCCAGAATTTCCTATGCGTGGGTCCTTGGAATGCTTTCCTTGTGATTCCGTGGAAGAGCCTAATTCCTACTGGACACAGGCGAAGCTGAAAAATGACCCAGGTTGCGTGGCAGAACCCTAACTGGAAAAACAGGCGGTGCCAGGAATCCCTGAAGACAGAGGTGGAGTTGAGGCTGAAAACAGCAGAGCAGGCGAGAGACCCCCTGAAACACACACTGGCCACACTGCTGGGCCCCATTCAGAAGCAGAGGGTCCAGAAAGGAGCCCCCCGAACTGGGTCTGCATGTCTGGGAGCAGGCTTCAGAGGAGGAGGAAAATGTCCCCCTGAAGCAGGCGGCAGACCCAGGCCCCTCCTGCACGAAACCGCCCATAAGCCCCTGAGAGAGCACAGAAAGCCCACGAAGCAGCAGCAAGAGTAGCTGGAGACCACAAAGTAACTCTCGGAAATTAAAAATTTGATAGCATAAATAGAAAGGAATGAAGATAAAATACAAGAAATATAAAGTAAAAAAAAGAACAAGGAAACAGAAAAGGAAACTGTTAGTTCAGTCCAGGAAGTCAGATAACCAGAAGGCACATGTTTTAAAAACCGAGAGGAAGAAATCGCCAAATAACAGGAGAAGCGTGCCCAGCTGTGAGGGAGGCCTGCAGCAGGTGCGCCCCGGGAGCGCAGCCCTCAGGGCGCCAGCTGCGGGCTCTGCAGAAGGGAAGGGTGCATGTGCCCTGCTGCTCAGGGCTCCCACCCACCATCTCCACAGTCTTCCTGTCGTGCTATTTTGCACACCCGAAATATCTAACACATGGTGCCCTGTGGAATCCCGAAGAGAAAAACTGACAAAGATCTGGTGCCCTTTGTCTCCTCCTCTGCAAGCCCACCCCAAGGGTAACATCTGGGGCTCTGTCCCTGCAGCTGGCAGAGATCTGCCCTTCACAGGCAGGCACTCAAGAAACAGCCACAGGTGGTGAGAGCAGGTGGGGGCCCTCAGGGGCAAGGGTTCCCACCTACACCACCCATGCAGCCACGTCCGTCCCCGAGGCTGCCTCCCGCCCTGAGCCCCCAGCTGCCTTCCCACGTGCCGGGAGAGGCTCTTCCCACTAGACTCTAAGATCCCTGGAGAACTCTGCATGTCTCAGCCTCAGACCCGTGCCTCTCAAAGTGCCATCAACAGCACTTCGCACGGCACCGTGACGCCGCCTGGCTTTGCTGCTCTCGTTCCATGGGGATGGGACAGCCAGCGCTCACCGCGGAGGCAGGCACTGGGCCCCAGGGCTCGCCTTACTCTCCCCTGAACAGGTTTTGCTTTATAAAGTTATTTTTCAAAAAAATGTTATTTATGTTACTAGGTCACAAGTTTATCATTGTATTCTTTAAGTGAATTAATAACTTTGTAATTTTTAGCTTTTAAAAAAATGGTAAATATAATGTAACCCACAGAAACAAAACCTCTTTGGGTGCCTCGATTTTCCAGAGTAGAAGGGCCCCAAGACCAAGGTTTGAGAGTGGCTGGTCCAGCAGCTCAGGTGGCAGCTTCTGGAGCCAAATGCTTCCATTCAAACCTGGCCACTCCACAGCCATGCAAACAAGTAAACTACGCTAACGAGCTTAGTGCGTGTGACCCCAAACGAGTCCCCTGGCCTCTCAGCCTCAGTTTCCCACTGGTAAACTGAAGTCAACAACACAACGTTCTTGGCTACTCTGGTGATTAAACAGGTGATCCTCACTGAACTTAAGCGGAACCCGGCCATGGTGTGTCTTCCATCCACACCGGCCCTTTCGGCCTGCAGCCCAGAGCGGCCAGCCCAGCACACCTGTCCACAGCAGGTGTGCCCCGCGACTGTGTGGGGTGCGGAGACATCCAGCTGCCTAGCGCAGTGTAGGGCTGCGTACTCGCCTCACCTGTCGGCCACATCCAGGTCAGAAGCCATTCTGTCCAGGCCGCTCGCTATGCTGTCCAGCTGCTCACCCTGGAAGTGCAGGACCCTGGCTGCGTCTTCCAGACGCTTCTGGGAACAGGCCATGAGACCAGTCAGCTGCTTCCCCTTGGTCACGGGGGAGGAGGGTGCTCCCGCAGCAGCTCCTGGAGGAGACAGCAGCACCTCTCTCCAGAAGTGCTCGATGACATGGAAAACAACATTCCGACTAGGCTGCAAGGAGCCGAACCAGTGCTTGACACGGTCCTTTTCCAGTATGGTGACAGCACTGAAGATAAAGTGAGAAGCTTCTTTCTTGATCTCAATTATGTCAGCAAGGGGAAAGTCGACAAGGAGGTCTCCAGTTTTATCAGCCATAAATCTTACTGAGCGTGAAGTTAACAGAAGTTTTCCAGGAACCCATCGCTTCTCAAGTTCTAAATAGTAGGAGCATGGCCAGGTGTGGACACAGATGTCTCTGCTCATCTGGTTCTGGAGTCAGCCTGCACCACGGCCAAAGCCACTCTGCTCTGAAAGAGAAGGGACAAGTCAGTGGCTGTGTGAGGCTGAAATGTGTCATCACACTTGGCCCAGAGACACTAGGACATGACCAGTGAGGTTGTTGAGGTCTCGGTTCAGAGCAGATCCGAGACACCGGCACACAGGGGGCACCTGCCTAGCAAGAGCGCTCACCCCATCCGTGACAGGGAGGACGAAGTCTTTGTCCTGCTTGGCAGAGGGGGATGGGCATGTCGCAGACTCATGCTCTTCCGCAAGCCGCAGGCCCAGCGCTCTGTGCCGGCCAGAGTGCCTCCCAGGGGTCAGGGCCCACAGCTGGGTGCGGCCGGAGGAAGAAAGCTGCTGGAAGCCAGCACCCCGAGACCCTTCACACGCGCACCGTATCAGCTGTGACGGCCTGATCCATACACACTCTTCACAAAAAGTCGCTGAACTAACAGTCTCCTTTTAAAACTTTTATAAAGGTAATTTCACAGAGAAAATAGCCCTACAAACTTACAGTGATGGCGTTATATACATATATAATTATATGTAGTTTTACCTCTAATTAGTATTTGTCAATGTAGTTGACAAAGTCACGCAGGAAAGGCTGGAAACCGCAGGCCAGGGAGTGATGAGGCCTGTGCGAAGGTGGACCCGGGGTCGAGACGCCAGGGCGCATAGGCGGGCCTGCGGGCTCCTCCTGGGGGAGGTCCGCCTGCAGGGCTTCCGAGGTCCCCCTGGCTGGCGATGCACCTGTGCTCGTCCTGGGTGTGCCCACTTACTCAGTGGCACTGCAAGTACTTAGTGGCACTTAGTACTCAGTGAAAAATGTAACAGTAATAAGATGAATTAAAAACGACTAATGAATGTACACATGAAAGATGTACCAGATGCCACCATGTCACACACCTGGAAACAGTGCGCTTGGCAGAAACACAGCTGGACAGCCCTGCACACGGCTGTCGCGCTAACAGCTGCAACGTGCCACTCGCCTGCCTGTGACTCCGGCCAGTCACTGAGCCCCTCCGCCTCCCTTTCCTGACCTGTAAGTGGGGATAAACTGTGCCTGGCCCACACCGCGTGGCAAGGCTTAACTGAATTGCTATTTCAAAGGCACTCAGAAGAGCACGTGGTTCCTACGGGCTCCATGGGACAGCACGATCCTGTTCAACCCTGAAAAGCATCTAGAACTGACACTGCTCAGCCCTCAGAAGTGGGAAGGGTTTACAGCTTCCCCCTGGCCCTCCCCTTTATCTCTCGGATGGCCGCCAGAGCTGGCCTCTGCTCCCAGTGGGAGAGGCAGCACTGGCCACAGGCACAAATGCGCACGCGCACAAGACAGTGAAGCCGAGGGAAGGAAAGGTGGAAGAGCGCACCCCGCAAACTCAAGGTAACGTGCCAGGCTGGAGCGAGACAATGCAATCCCACCACGGGACCAACCAACTTAGCCTGTACGTTAATCTGACTCAAGCACGTCACCAGGGCGTCCTGGAACTCCTCTTGGTCATGAGCGCAGGGCAGGCGCACGCCCCCCAGACACACAGACCGGCCCACCAGCTCCTGTTGCGCAGTCCCCACGTCAGTCCAGCTGGGCTCCCTACAAATAGCTGCGGTCAGGACAAGCCTACAAAAGGTCTGCCATGTTCAGCCTGAGAACTTTGTCATTATTGCAAAATAAAGTAAGATATGGGACTCAGAAGTAACAAACACAAAGATACCAGGCCTGGCGGGGCCACAGGGACCATCTGTCCAATTCACATTTCATGGACGAATGTGCAAACGCGCCAGTGGCAGCAGCTCGCAAACTCTGCTGACAGCCTGGCCACTACACCTTCAAGAGTACTGACCTCACCACGTGTGTTGCACGAGTGACAGTTCTGAGGAAGTAGCAGCCCCAGGACCTGGATATTCAAGGAAATATTATACAGTTCAGACACCAGAGGAGCATACAGGTGAGGGGATAGAACACTTACTAATCAGCAACAGGAAGACTGCACATACTTGCACTGAAGAGCAAAGATAACATGTGGTAAAGAATATCCTAGAGCAGGCTGCTATGGACGAAGACTACCAGGAGGGCAAGCCTCCTGCTCGGGGAATGTGGCGGGCCTGGAGCGGGAGCAGCAGGCCCAGAGCCGCCTTCCCGAGCACTGGCGGGCACCAGCACCCCAGGCCGCAGATGAGAGCCCGAGGCTGACAGGGTCAGAGACCTGCCAAGGAGGCGGGAGCCCAAGAGCCTGCGCCCTTGGCCAGGACAGTCGGCGCTAGCCCGAGGGGAGCCTCAGCTCCAACGCCCGGCCCACAGCAGCCGCACACTCTCACCCGGCGCCTCTGTGACGGAGCCGGAGTCCACACACTCGTGTCCCTGGGAAGCCAGCAAGGAGGCCCTTGGCTGTCTGACTGCTGACCCCTGACTCTGAACGGAGGACAGGATCGTCTTCTCGAGGCACACTCTGGGCCTCCTGGAAGCTCACCATGGGGCCTGCCTTTCCTTGTGCGGACGGCGCGTGCTGGGCAGAGGGAGCCCTGCGGTCCCTGTGTCCTCGCTCATGAGAGGAGCCCTTGCCTGGGCACTCTGAGACACACACAAACAAAAGGTACCGCAGGCCACATGGGACAGGCCTCTTCCGGCCTGGGCAGCAGGGGCCGCAGGCCCCAGCCTTTCGTCACCAATGTGCCGTCTGCTCAAACAGCCTGCTGGACTCTACAGCAGAAGGGCTCTACTTTCAGCATTAGGAGGCGATGAACGACATCCCTGTCACCATGGCTTCCAGCATGTCCACACCTGAGGCGAGCATCAGGGTCAAGTGTCTGGGCCTCCATCACTGCAGCGGGCTCCCGGGTCAGCCCTGCCCCGGGCTAGAGCCCAGTCCCCCTGCTGAAAGGGATCTCCCCCACTGCCACCCACAATGGCCACAGACCACTTCCGGCCTCTGGAGAGGGTTGGGAGGGGCATATCTTATACACCACCACCCTGTCCTCCGACGGTGGGGTTCAGCATGGAAACTGAGCTGCCGTGAACAATGGCCTGACCTGAGCTCTCACGCCCAAGTGCCAAGGGAGACTGCACACGCGCCCCACATGATGACAGAGTCTGGTCTGCAGCATCCAAGGAGGCACGCTGCACTTCCAGCTTCAGCCGCACCACGGACTTTATAACCAGGGGGAAGTTACTTCCCTTCTGAGGTGAAAGACCCAAGGACAACGTCAGCTCTAACATACTGTAAAATTCAAAAAGGGGCGGGGGAGGGAGGAGAGAGGAGAGTAGAAAGCAGAAACGGGAGGAGAAACCAAGGACTTCTCACCGCCGTGCTAGCCGTAAGAAAGATGAGTAAGTCCTCAGGTTTGACAAACACCAGGGAAAAGCAACAGGAGAATCCTGTGGCCACAACTTTTCCTACCCCAGTTTCCAGGGCAGCTTCCCAAGAGACCGCAATAGGGCACCAGGGGGCTCCACCTACGTGCCCCACCTCTCCCGGGTGCCTGTCTTCCCCAGGCCCCACGTGCAGCCCACGGGCGGGAGTGTCCTGCTCCCGCAAAGGCCAGGCACCCGTGCCCCTCGCCCCAACCCTCTCCCTCTCCAGCAACACCAGCTCCCCCTTCCCCGCAGCCCCAGGGGCTCGCTGCCCTGCTAAGAGCCAAGCAGGGCACAGTTTAGGCTCTTGGGCCTGTGGTCTCTGGCACCACGCTCGCCTCTGCCGCTGGAGAGCGGAAGCAGCAGAGACCACACAGAGCGAAGAGTGTGGCAGCTTCAATACCCTCCTGTATGAAAAGGGACCAGTGGATGTGGCCCCAGGCACAGTCACCCAGCTGCCCTCGATCTTCTCTACAGCCTACGCACCTTCTCTAGGAGCTGCACCTGCAAGACCACCCCCCCCCCCCCACCTCTCCACGGCCGGACCAGCTGCCGCTCCCTCTCACAGACACTCCCGGCCCCCTGTGCTCATCCCGCCCCCCATGCAGGCTCCGGTCCCCGCCACTCCCTGGCACAGCTCTGCACAGGCCAGCAGGGGCCAAACCAAACACCCACGCTGCTCTAAGCTCTGCGCAGCTCAGCCAGCTGCCCCTCCAGACAAGGCATCCCCCCCACCTCCGCAGGCCCCACCTCTGCAGGCCCCACCTCCGCAGGCCCGCTTTCCTTCTCCAGTGCTGGCTGTACCGCTCCAGCCCCCGCGCCCCCCCCACCCCGACTGCTGAGTGCTGGGATGGCCAGGACACAGCCCGGCCCTCTTAGTCAACACAACGCTCTCCTGCTCAGTGAGTCAACACAGCTCCGTGGCAGTGGGAGTCACCTCCAAGCTGCCGCCTCCCATGCTTGACCTCTAGCCCAGCCTCGCTCACCATCGCCATCAGAGTAGCCTGGGCATCTCCCCTCTGCCACCCAGTGGGCGTCTCCACCCTCCTCCCTCCACCTCAGGCCCGCACAGCAGGGGAGCGGATTTCCTGGATCCCCCTTCCTCATCCCTCCCAACAATCCGTCAGCAAGTCCTGGCAGCTGTGCCCGCCTCTGTCCTCTGCCCTGACCCCACAGCCACTGCACCAGGCAAGGCTGTCACTACTCCTCTGGACAACCCTGCAGGTCCCCCCTTGCCTCACTCTGCACCTACCACCCACTCTCCATCCAGCCTCCAACATGACAGTCATCACATAGGATCAGAAAATGTGACATAGCCCCAGCTATCTTACTTCTAGACATATGATCAGAATGCTAGTCATAAAAAAAGAAAATTCTAATTGTAACAAAAATAGAGCATTATGTTAAGTGAAATAAATCAGATAAAGTAAAAAAGAAAAGAAAGAAAAAGAAAAAGACCCGTCTTCTGCCAAAACCTTTCCCAGGTGCCTGGAGCCGGGCCACTCCCCACCACAGCCCAGCCACTCTGCGGAGCGGCAGCGTCACCACCCAGCCCCTCCAACCTGTGCTCCACTCTGTTCCTGCCCCAGGGCCCCCCACGGCCCCAGGAACATCTTCTCCCCGCCTCTGCCCCCAGAACAGAGCCCTCACCACAGCTCCAAAGAGCCTGTGAGTGTGCCACGCGAGCACCAGCTGGGTCTACACGCTGGAGGAGCGCAGAAGCACCTCATGCACCGTGCCAGCACAGCCAGGCGCCCGGGAAGTGCCTGCTGAGTGGGCCTCGAGCCACACCACGTGGAAACATTGCCTGCCCCCTGTGGACCACTGTCTTCCTTCCATGTGCTGGCCCAGGTCCAATCGACATTGAGTTCTGGAGTCCTTACTTGGTCCTTGCCTGCTGTAGTCTAGAGCCCACATCTGCCAGTGAAAGACACACAGACCTGCGTGGACCCTGAGGCTAGAGCCGAGACGGGGCGGGAAGGTCATGGCAAGGCCCTGCAAGGGCGTCTGGGGCTCACGGCCAGTGATGCTCCCAGTCCCTGGGCCGCACTTAGGACGCACGGCAGTTACTACAAGAGATCTCTCTCGGCCCTTGCATCGGACCTGTGCCTGCAGTGAGACTCAGCATCAAGTAAACACCTATTTTTAGTTAATTTCCAGAGAAACAGAACCAGCAACATCTTACACACCTTCCAACAACTGCTGACCGCAGGACGACTGAGAGCGGGAACAGTGGGAGCAGTGTCTGCAGGGGCCCGGCCAGCCTTTTCCATTACCCTTCCCTCCCGCTCCTCCGAGGCGCCCACTTTCAGCCTGGGAGGTTCCAAGTGCTGCTGGGGATGTTTTACTGAAACAACATGGTGTATTCACAGGGTGTGCCCCATCTTCCTAGCTCCTCAGAGCACACAACTAGGATTTTATGTAATTCCCACTGCATTTCCTACAAAGGACTTACTTTTAAACTCCCTCCTGCTGCTTTCTCTCTGGCCCTCTGAGGGATGTGTCACTGCGAAGTGCCCACCCCCAGGATGTGACCGAAGTAGGTCTGGGCGGGGCCCAGGCGTCTACTTTTCTCACCAGCTCCAGGTGATGCTAAGGCTGCCGTCTAGTGGCCTTGAAGGTACGCAGACCTGCTCTCCCTGGTCCATTCAGAGCCTTGCATGTACCATGGTGGTGACACTGCTGATGCCAGAAGGCCACCATGTGGACTCGGGAAAACATGACACAAATGCCTGGGCCAGCCAGTGCTCAAGAAAGATCTACCTCCTACCTTGCGCGACAGCCTCGGAGAGCCTGCCCTTTCTTAGGCAACTTACTCTCAACCACATGCCTTTGGGAGCTGGGTTCCTCCCAGACAACCCACCTGAATTGCATTTTTCCCACGGTGCAAACTTTGCCCCACGTTTCCCAAATCCTTACACACTTACGATACTTTGCCCCACTGCCCCCCATGATATGCACTCTCACAGCCGTGTGAGTGTACAGGGAACACGAATGAATGAGTACAAGAATGAACATACTCTACGTCAAAAAGGAAAACATGCCCATCTCTGGATGGGATTATGGGTGACTCTTTTTCTGCATTTTGCCTTCACTGTGTGTTCTCACTGCCTGCCCTGTGCTGGCCCAGTGAGGAATGCCACACCCTAGCCACATGGACAAAGGAGGCAGATGGGAAGCAGATCACACCACCTCCCGCTGCTCCACCTGCCACGGACGACTCCCACCCCCAGTCCCATCTTGCCAGTGCTCTTCGCCCCCACCTCAGATACCCCTCCACCTGGACCTCAGACCCCCCAAAACACTTTCCTCCTAGTCCTCCCCTCCCCTGCCTTTCCCCTCTTCTGATGCTCCCTGTTCTCCTTCTGGAGAAACTTGTAGTGACTGAACTGCAAACAAAAAGCTCCAGGAAGTCAGGAGTCTCTCCCCAGGTGCAGACGGCACAGCTCCTCTACCTTTCCTTCCAGGAGGTGAGAGAAGGGAGGTCCTATTGCTTTTTTTCTTTCCTGCTTTAGTGTGCGGGAGACGTTGTCAAGGTCTTCCCAACTCTGTTCACTCTTGCTGACGCCCCACGTACATCTGCCAAGTTCACACAGTAATAAGTCTGATTTCTCTCTTCCCATGCTGATGTTTGTGACTGTCGGACGTTGACTTCCCCAATATGCTGAGACCAAGACATGTCACCCCCACCACATTCCCACTCATGTGCCCCCATTTTAGGCCTGCAGTGTACGCAGCCTCACATCCCCACCCTGGATCCCCGCACCCTCATTTCAGGTCCTCCTATTCCTCCACCCCCACCCCCAGGTCCTTAGTCTCTCCCAGGGCACCCACCATCTCCTCCAGGTCTCCCCCCACCCCCAGAAACTATCCTTCAGGTCTCCGCCACCCCCTAGGCCCACACATGCCCTCCAGGCCACCACCATGCTAAGTCTCCACCATCCCCCCAGGCTCCCATCATCCCCGAAAGCACCCCATCACTCTCTCCAGCTTTCCACCATCACCAGATGCGCCATTATCTCCTCCAGAGTCGCACAATCTCCCTAGGCTCTCCTATTACCCTCCACGTCCCCATCATCCCCCTAGGCCCCCACCATCCTCTCCAGGTCCCCCATCATCCTCTTGGTCCTTCACCACCCCCAGTACCCCATCTTTGGCCCTTCTACACCTTTCAAAGCCCAGACCGCAACACACCACCTACCCCAGTCCCTTGGGCACTGGAAAAAGGAGGGGTCCTCGGCGCGGCACAAGCCCAGACGAAGATTAGAAACGACGCATTCCTGAGTCATGAAGTGCGAACACGACGATGCTCGGGGTGGTCGCTGTCTGACAATCTCAGGCGCTGGTCTGCAGTTCCAAAGACCGTTCCCTGCGCCTGCGCCCGGTGAGGGCCGCCCCGTGTTGTGCGCATGCGCTCAAGGCCCGGTGCGCCTTGGTACAGATTCCGGCAGGAACTCTGCCCGCGGCTTCCTGGTTCCGCCGGGCAGCGTCTGGCCGACGGCGCCGTAGTGTACCTCGCGATTTCGTTCCCGCCGGCGCGGAGGCTGTGAGCCGTGAGTGCCCACGGCTTCTGCTCCGGAAGTAGTTTTAGGAAGTACTTTCTTTTCACTTCCCAGGTTAAAATGCACCGCGGTGGGAGTCCCGAGCCTGGGTTCTGGCTCCCGCTTATCACTCGGCGGCCGCACTGGCACGCCGTCCTTGGGAGCTTCCCCGCTGCTCGCAGTCCCTCCGCTCTCGGCAGACGCCCCCTTCTCCCCACCTGACTCCCCGGAAGCTTTTCCATTCCACGACGCAATCCTTTGTCCCATCCTGAACATCCCCTCGGCCTCTGGCAGCCCCGCACCCCATGGACGCCGAGCCTGGCCGGACATGGACAGGGAGACGCGCGTGTTCGCAGAGAACCACTTTCGACGCCTCCGAGGGCGTCTCCCCAGCAGTGTCTGCCCGACCCCGGACCGTGTGGACTTTATTGAGAATCCAGACTCCTTTTCCTACGCGGACTTCTTCAAGGGTTACCTGATCCCCAACCTGCCGTGTGTTTTCTCCAGCGCCTTCACCGAGGGCTGGGGCAGCAGGAGGCACTGGGTGACACCCAGTGGGAAGCCTGACTTCGATTATCTGCTTCAGAATTATGGTAAGGACTGAGGGAGAGCGCGAGCGAGCCCTGGACTAGAGACTGTTGTGCTACCGGTCTCATCTGGCCAAGTTCCCTTATGTCCTGCTACAGAGGGCGCTGCTGCGGGTTTTGGGGGAAGGCACGGAATGAGTGGGTTCCCAGAATTCATGCGGAGACAGTGTAGCAATGAGTTGGAGGGTGGACAGGATCAGAGAAAACGGACGAGCTGGAGGACTCAGAAAAGCCTGTGCCTAACCCTCCCCTTTCAGGAGACGTAGTTGTACCTGTTGCAGACTGCGGGGTCCAGGAGTACAACTCGAACCCTAAAGAACACATGCCCCTCAGAGATTACATCAACTACTGGAAAGAGTTCATCCAGGGGGGCTACTCCTCTCCACGGGGCTGTCTCTACCTCAAAGACTGGCACCTGTGCAGGTAAAGGCATGGTGCACTGGCCGCCGCACTGCTTTTTCCAGACCTGAGTGAGCCCTGGCTGTGCAAGGGGGATACCGTCTTTTTACAAGTTAGAAATTTAAATCCGTATAAAAAACCTAGCTCTCTGCAGAACAGTGTGGCCGACTGTTGGTATGCACGCAGCCAGCTGCATGGGGAATGCGGGGCTGGTGGAGGTGCAGGTATGCACTGATTATCACATCTTTGTCACATTTGCTCATCTAAATGGCAGCACCCAACCTCTGTTCCTCCTCTCAGATGTCCCCTGGAATGAACCTCCCTTTCTTTTTATTTTTTATCTTTACCTGAGGACATACTTACTGATTTTAGAGGGGAAGGGAGGGAGAAAGAGAGGGAGACAAACACCAATATGAGAGAGAAACATCAATTGGTTGCTTTTGGTACACTCGCCGACAGGGATTGAACCAGCCACCTGGGCTTGTGCCCCAACCGAGAATTGAACTCTCAACCTTTCAGTCTGCAGGACAACGCCCAACCCACTGAGCCACACCAGTCAGGGCCCAACCTCCCTTTCCAACCCCGCTTCTCCATGTCCAGCCTGTTGTGCTACCAGTCTCCTGACTGGCCGCCTGCATTGAGTCCTGCACCCCACTGCTAGGCTTCCCAGCAGGACTGTGTCTCTCCTGCTTAAAGCCCCCCATCACTTGGAGCAACACCAACTCCTCAGAGAGGAACGTATCCGCTCCCCCTTGCACACTTCCACCTGGGGAGCTCCAACGATGCTGCTCTGAAAACATCTCCCTCCCATTGCCGTGCCCACTGTCTGAAGTGGCCCCCTGGTTTTGTGCCACCCAGGGTCATGCATTTCACCAGCAGAAACATTCCTAGTCAGACTCCCCATGCTGGCACCTAGTTACTTAGTCAGTGTTGGGTGAATGAGTGCCCGCATTGAATTCTCATTTTTCTGATGTGGAAACTAAGGCGTAAAAGGTAAAGGGAGACTAGAACTCAGGCTCAGGTGACTCTAATACCAGTGCTGGAGTACGTGAGACACACCAGCACCAGCCTCCGCCTGCAGCCCCCACAGCACGTCCTCGCTGCACCAGCCACTACTCTTTGTGTTGGGCATGGAGCCTTCTGTGTAGACGGTAGTTATGTGCTGTGGAGTTGAGCTTCACAAAAAGGCAATGGGTGCATTTTTTTCTTTTCTTTTTTTTGGGAGGGGGGGTGTAAGTATACCCCAAGTATTGCATGGGTTATGCTTAAGCTAAAAACTTTTTATTGTTTATTTGAAATTTGGTTTTGACTGAGTGTCCTGTATTTTCCCTGGCAACCTTAAAATGAACAGAGCAGAGCCGGCCAGGCCCGGGCAGATAGGGGCTGATGAATGAGCAGGCGTCTGAGTGCACCAAGACGTGGTGTTCAGGCAACTCCAAGTGGCTTGGTGGCACTGGCCTCTCCCCATGACCTCCGACCGAGCATGACGTGTGAGCGAGCCCAGAAGCTTGCTCCAGGCCGCCGTTCTCTCTTGGCTTGGTCTAACATGCTCCTGTGCTGGGGAGCGCATGGTTGCGTTGTGGTGCTCACTGTGGAGTGAGGTTGGAGAGGCTGAGGGTGCAGAGGACCTTGGTGTGCGTGGCTGTCCTTGTGTCTGGGCCTGTGACCTTGGCGTCTGCTCAGCAGAGTCCAGGTCGCTGGTGTGAGTGGAAGCGCTGGAGCAGCCACAGTTGCAGAAAGCCAGTCCGATTCAGGTGATGTGCCGAGACCCCAGCTCAGCCAGAGTCCGAAACCCTGGGACCGGTGCTGGGGGGCCCAGAGCACCTGGTTGCCACCTGCGCGGGCTGGCTGGGCGCTGTCACAGCCCCCGCAGCCCTCTCGCCTGCACACCTCCGTGGTTCCGCTGTTTGGGCGAGCTCAGCGGGGCCCCTGGGGGCTGTGGTTATTGGCAGTCGGGCCAGGGTCGTCTGAGGTGGCCCCACTCAGCCAGGCCGCCCAGGGTCCCTCACGTCAGTGACCATGTGGGGCTTGGGTGTGTGGCGGTGACAGCGTCCTCATGCCGCTCGCTCTCTGAAGGGACCACTCTGCCGAGGGCTTGTTCACCCTGCCCGTGTACTTCTCCTCCGACTGGCTCAACGAGTACTGGGACACCCTGGCTGTGGACGACTACCGTTTCATCTACATGGGCCCCGCCGGCACCTGGTAACCGTGCATCCCCCCACCCCCCGCCGCCTCACACCTTGTCCCTCGTCACTGCCCTGAACCACGGCGGCTGCCTCGGAGCCTCTGCGAGTCCCCCGGGCCAGGCCATGCAGGCAACTGCCAGGCCGTGGAGGCAGCTGCCAGGCCTGGCACTTCCAAGCCCACTTGTGCTCTTTCCTTTGAGGCCCTTCCCAGAGCCCATGTCCCTCCTGCAGGATGTGCTGGGATGGGGCACGGCTGGCTTGTCCCTGTGGTTGACAGACAGGTGTGAGAGCCGGGGAATCGCGGGTCCCAGAGTGTGGCCAGTCTTTTTGGCAAAACCAAAGCCCACACCCCGGCCACAAGGCGCCAACAGGGACTTTTCGCAGGTCGCCGTTCCATGCCGACATTTTCCGCTCCTACAGCTGGTCTGTCAATATCTGCGGGAGGAAAAAGTGGCTCCTCTTCGCACCAGGCCAAGAAGAAACCCTACGGGACTGCCATGGTGGCCTGCCCTACGACGTGACCGCCCCGGCCTTCCTGGAGAGCCGCCCGCACCCAGGGCCGGAGTGCGGCAGCCCAGCTCTGGAGGTCACACAGGAGGCAGGCGAGATGGTGTTCGTGCCCAGCGGGTGGCACCACCAAGTCCACAACTTGGTAGGGTGGGCATGCCCTTCCCCGCGTGCCCAAGAGGTGGCCCAGGCAAACAGGGAGACAGGCCACGTGGCTCAGCAGCCTGGCCCTGACTGCCTCTCGACTCTGTCCCTCGGCCTGCCCTTGGCACTATTCTAGCTGCTTCCTGAAGAGAGAGGGCTGTGTCTTTGCCTCCCGGCTCCATGGTGGGCGGGCCGCCCCTTAGGGAGACCCTGGGTATGTGACAAGGCAGGCCATGGTGAGGCCGGTCCCATGTGTCGGCATGTCACCTCCGCACAGCATGCTGACTCCCCCCCACCCCCCGACAGTACTCTCCTAGTCCCCACACAGCGGGGTTCTCCAGGACCCCTGGGGAGCCCCGCTCTGGGTTAGCTGTGGACACAAATGACCGCAGACCCAGGTCCATCTTCCCTGCTGGCACCCACTGGGAGTTAGGCGGGAGCAGCCCTTCCCAGCTGAGTAGAGATGGGAGAACCTCAGGATGGGGGAGGGGACATCCTGCAACCTGCCTCTTCCAGGAGGACACTATCTCCATCAACCATAACTGGGTCAACGGCTGTAACCTGGCCAACATGTGGCATTTCCTGCAGCAGGAGCTCCGTGCCGTGCAGCGGGAGGTCGGCGAATGGAGGGACACCATGCCTGACTGGCACCACCACTGCCAGGTGGGACGTCTGGCCTGGACAGCAGTGAGGACCACGAGTCCAGGGCCACGGAGCGGGTGGGGAGCTCACCTGGGGCAGTCCGTAAGCGGGGCAGTCTGGGGCTGGCCCTCACTGGCTGGCTGCCAGGTATCTGTCTTCTGTCTCCATCCTCAAAGGCTGGTCCATGGCTTGGGGTCCTTTGCAGCTGGGACTCTGTCCACAGTCAGCAGAAACTTGCCCAAGGTGCAAGTGAGCAGTGCTCACTGGTCACTCCTTTTGGCCTAGGTCATCATGAGGTCCTGCTCTGGGATCAATTTTGAAGAATTCTACCACTTCCTCAAGGTCATTGCCGAAAGGAGGCTCCTCCTAGTGAAGGAGATAGGCCCTGGTGAAGAGGGGGGTGGCGAGGGCCCTGGGCTGGGCCCCCAGCAGGCCATGTTTGACATCAGCCGGATCGCTGAGGTGCTGGCGTCTGTGGTAGCCAACCCCGACTTCCAGAGAGTGGACACCAGCGTGCTCTCGCCGCGGCCAGAGGACCTCCTGCAGCAACTGGAGGAGGCCGTGGCCGCCATGGGGTCTCTCTAGTGTGTGCTGTGCGGGTCCCTTGACACGTCTTGGTGGGCCTGTGCAGGCACTGGCATGGAGAGCCGTTGCCTGCTCCAGGGTCCCTTCCAGAAATAAAGCTCCATCCTCCTGTGTGGCCTGGGGTGTGTTGCCTCCCTGGTGAGCCTTGTTGCCTTGGCTCCTCAGATCCAGTTTCGGCTCTCAAGGGTCTGCCACCGTCCTGGCGTTGCAGGACCTCCGTGCCTGTCCAGAGGGCCCAGGTTCCTTGTTCTCGCGAGGCCCAGCGGGGCTGGGACTCGGATGCAGAGACGGGTGGGTGGAGAGTTGCTGGTAACTGGGGCTTGTGGCCAGGCTGGGAGGGAGTGTGCTGGGGACTCGGGAGTGTGAGTGGCGTGGGGCTGGGCTTCCTTCCGGTCCCCGGCCTTCCCGCAGCAAATGCCAGCACCGAGCCAGCGGGCGTCCCGTCCACAGCGGCGCAGGCCCGCTCCGCAGTAGCTACTCACCCCCCAAGTCCACGCCTCCCTCTGGAGCAAGCCCCTCAGGGTGCAGTAGAGCTTTGGGCCCAAGGCGCCTCCATGCTGCAGGGCCTGTCTCTGTCCCACATTTGAACCACTCTTATTTTCTTCTGAGGTTTTTTTACTTTTTTTAGAGAGGGAGAAAACATCAGTGTGTGGACCTGGCCTCCTGTGCCCTGCCTGGGAGTTGAACCGATGACCCTTTGGTTCTCAGGCTGGGGCTCAATCCACTGAGTCACGCCAGCCAGGGCGTGGACCACTCTTTACATAGCGGCCTCCTTTCCTCCACTGGCCGTGGCCACCCCCTGGCAAGGTCCTGAGCCGGATGTTCCATTGGTCAGTCTCCACGCATCAGGCACTGTACCGGGGACACTTGAGTGTTCTGCAGGGAAATGGAACCCGCTGGGTGTGTGGGGAGGAATGGGGCTCGTGAGTGTGCGCCTGCAGGGAAGGCTGGAGCCTGAGAGGAGAGCTGACGACGTCACCACGGGCTGGGTCGGGCCAGGGTTTGTGCTGCAGTCTGGAGGCGGAATTGCTTTGTAAACCTTGGCCCTTGTTTTTAAGTCCTCAGCTGATTGGGCAAGGCCCACCTGCATCACGGCACGTCATCTGCTTTGTTTGCTCAGGCTGCTGAGTTAAATGTGAATCTCATCTAAAAACTCTTGACAACAATGACAACACTGGCCTTCGACCAAGTGGCACCATGGCCTTGTCATGGGGGCACATAGGCAGCCGACGTGATCACTGCATCTGTTCGCTGGGGCTCGGCAGTCACTGCTCCCCCCGGCCACGCTCCCTGGCACCACACCGGCCCCTGCACTGCCGTGGGCCAGGCCCTCTGCGCACTTCCCTGAGTGTTCTCAGCCCCTGGTTTGGCACAGAGGCAGGACTGTGCCCACACACTGGGTGAGTCAGTGATCACTCTGCACAGGTTCCATACCAACTTCCGTTATTTGCACGCCCACTCTGCCATTTAATCGCTGCACTCGCTATGCTGTTCACAAGCCACTGCCTGTTCTCTGTTCAGCCTCACACTTCACACACCCGTGTGTCAGTCATAGCCACTCGCCACGTGCCGTTCAACAGCCAATCGCGTGCGTCTCGCTCCATCCAGCTTCCACTCCAGCCCACTCTGGCTTTGAACAGCCGCTCCCATGCTCGTGGCCGGACGTTTTTGCTTCTCACAGCCACACGCCCTGTGCAGGAGCCGCTCGGCACTCAGTGGGCTAGGTCACCACGCGCTCCGCCACTCCGCGCCTTCCAGCTCCCCGTCCAGCGCAGGCGCTGTGAGCCATCGGGCAGTGCTGGCGCACGCAGCAGGCTGACAGGCACTGCGCGCTGCGGCGATTCGGCCTTCCCTCGCAATCGCCTCTGCACCCCCCGAGTTCCACTGAGCCGTCAGTGACCAAACTCACAATCCCTGGCTCAGCCGCCACTGTCACCATTCTCCCTGTCCTCTACTTGCACCTTCACCCTGGGCCCTGCATGGGTGACCCTTGTAGCCACCAGGGAGGAAGGGGTGACAGAGCCGGCCGCCCTCCCCAGGCCCCTGCCTGTACAAGCGTGTTCAGGAGCTGCTGGAGTAAGTGGCGGGACGCGCTGCCGGCCGTGTTGGCTCCGGAGGCCCCTGCTGAGTCGGTGCAAGCCCGCGATCCTGGGTCTGCCCCGCAGGGCACTCAGGTGAGCTCAGGACAGGTGTGCTTCCCTCTGGGTTGGAAGTACTGCAGTGTGTGACTGGTAATGCTGTGTCCCTGCTGCCCAAGGACATCAGCCCTGTTGGCACCCCCTCCCCTGCCCGCCAGGGTGCATCTCGCAGCCCTCTCCCCATGACGGGACTAAACACGTTCACCAGGGCCAGCGGGAGAGGGTGAACACGGTCTACCTGACCGGGGCAGTGGGGGAGGCGGGGGCGCCCTCCCAGGAGGATCCAAATCTGGGGAAAAGGCCAACCACAGGGTCCTTGGTGGGGACTGAGGGTGGAGCCCTGCCTTCCCTCGTTTTCTTTGCTAATAACCTTTTTCTGGCCTTTTCCTTTCCACGTTTTTATGTTTTAATATTTTTTTACATTGTTCCCCATTTAGTGCTTATGAATTTTAGTTTGAACTTAAACACTACACTCTCCCAATTGGCCAAAAGCCACTTAAGCAGGAGAAGCAGAAAGTGTCCCCTCTTCCTCAAAGGAAAAGGCGCGGGAGGCCGCAGGCCAGGATCCCACGAGGGCTGCAGCCCCGGCAGGGGGCGAGCACAGAGCCTCTACAGGGGCCGGGCTTGGCAGTCCTGTCCTGCCTCCGTCCGCCGGCAGGTGACCCTCTGCGGCCTGCTCTGTTCCACGCACGTGGTTCCGTCTCCACACGTTTTCCCCACTTAACGCTGATGCAGTCCCTGAGACCAAACGAGAAGCTCCACGTCCCTAATGTCTGGTCAAAAGACGCCTCAGCAGGAGGAGCAGAAAGAGCGCCCTCTCCCTCGGAGGGAGCTGGGCAGGGCGAGGCGCGGCGAGTGCTGCGTTTAGACGCCCAGTTTCAGGCGCTGTGGCTCTGCCTGCGTGAGTCCCTTCACCGTCTAACCCCAGGAGCCTGCGGGGCTGTCTCTGCTGCTGGCCCAGCTTCATGACCCTGGAGTGAACCTGTCCTCTGAGGAAGGGGGCTTGGGCGTGGCCTCAGGAACCAGGGTGGGAGCTGGCCCTTCTCCCACCTAAAATAAACTAATGACTCTGCAAAACTTCTTAGGAGAAATGAGTCTGTATTTGATTTAAATTAACACAGGGAACGAAAGAACCAACCCACAGCTCCCAGTCTATAGTAAGAACAGGACTTCAGTGTAATAGTCCAGTGTATCTTTCACTATTTAAAACAAGCATCGTAACAACTAGTAAACTTCTTCTACCTTGTATACAAAAGGTTGAGTCACACCTCCCATCGACCCCACGTCCTGTGGCCTCATCAAGCCCTTGGTGCCTGGCGCTTGCAGGGGAACCAGAGAACATCAGCAGACTCTGCTGCGCCTCCCCACCTGGCACAGAGCTGGGTATGTGACGAGTGGTTCTCTCCTGGGGGAGGGGAAGGCCAGACTCGGCGATGGGACCTTCACGGTGCCGTCTGCTGACAAAGGCTAGAGCAGTGGGAGGCCGGGCCGGGCCCCCAGGAAGTCCACAGGCAGGTGCTCCAGACATGAGAATGGCAATCTTGAGGCCCAGGGGCGAGGGGGTGCTCTGGCTGCCTGTGGGCATGGGTGAGAGGGACCCACCTGTGCCTGCAAAGGGATGATGGAAGTGTAGAGGGCAGGGCCCTTGGCCGAAGTCAGCTAGTCCTCCGGTTCCCAGAGAGCGGAAGGCACCCGAGGCAACAAGAGGACCACAGGCCCCCAGGTCAGCTGTTGACAGTCAGGCCCCACGCCCAGCCAGAACAGACGCCCCATGGGGAGGCGCGTCTGGAGGTGGCCTGGGCTGGCGGGTTGGGAGGGCAGTGCCGGCTGTCCAGGGCCACGTCTGTCTGTTGAGCTACCTGGCCAGCTGCGCCCTGTAGAGGAAGGTCCTGAGGCTGGGTATCACTAGGGGCAGGTTAGAAGATAACCTTTGTGAATGAAAAATGAGATAAACTTTAAAAATAAATGTTAGCGCTCAGGTGAATGTAATAGAGAACAGACGAAAATCAAAGAAAAATTGTTTCTCTGAAGAGGATGAAGAAGTAACTGGAGCCAGAGCTGGATCTCATCCTGCTTCTGGAGCTGGTGCTGGAACCAGCTGGGGCTCCTGGCACACACCGAGTGGGCCACGGCTTTGGAGCTGGAGCCCTGGAGTCGCCGCTAGAGCTGGTGAGGAAGCTGGCGACAGGGCTGCTTCTGCCTCCAGCTGGGTGTTGAGCTGGTGCCGGAGCCAGAGTTGGTGCTGAGGCAGCCCTAGGTCAGGGTTGGCACTGGCTCTAGCTTTCCAGCTCATGCCAGAGCCGCCTGCGTCTCCGGGGCTGATGCAAAAGCTGGCCCTGGCGTGGGCCCAAACTCTGGAGCTAGTGTTGGAGTTGGTGCTGGCGCTGACTCTGACCCAGAACTGGGTGCTGGCTCTAGCTTCGGAATCCGTTTTGGAGATGACTCTAGATCTAGATCTGTGCTAGAGCTATCGCCGGACATGGCACAAAGGTTGGCGATACAGCAGCCTGTATCTCCGGAGTTGGTGCCAGAGCCGGCTAACTCGGGAGCTGATGTGAGAGCTGGTGCTGAAATCGGCCCTAGCTCTGTAGTGGGTGCTCCCTTTAGCTCTGGCAAAGGCTGTGAAGCTGGCCCTCGCTCCAGAGATAGTGCTAGAGCTGGTCCTGGAGCTGCTCCAAATCTGGCGTTGGGGTTGGTGCTGGAGCTGGGAAAGGAGCTGGCTTTAGCACCAGAGCCAGCGCTGCAGCCGGCTCCAGCTTCGGAGCCTGCGCTGAAGCCGGAGTGACGCTGGCTCTGCCCCAGCGCTGGGGCTGGGGTTTGCTCGGGCTGGCATGTCGCTGGCGCTGGAAGCAGCACTCGTTGGGGACTGCTGGCAGAGTTGGTGCCAGAGCAGGTTCTGCCTGTGAGCTGCGCTGGGGCTGGCTGTGACTCTGGAGTGGCACTATCTCTAAATATGGAGGTGGGACCGGAGCCAGG